TGCTTTAAGTCAGCAGGAGGAAAAATACCAACGTATTTGAGTTTAGATAGCACAAACAAAAGAGGTAAAGAAAAAAATTCTAAAAGCAGTGAAGTTTTTTTCCATCTGTTGTTATTTGCAGACACCTTAAAAAAAAAAAAAATGGCTTGTGTAACAAGCTTTAGCTTATTGGCTTTGTTTTTCTTTTCTTAACTTTTGCAGAAGCTCTGGGAACAGTCTGGTTCCCTAGGAAACTGTCAGCTGGTTTGCATTGGGAATGTGAATTCTGTGAAAAGTCGAGATAGCTCTCTCCTGCCCTCTAATCCCTCATACATCTTCCTCTGCAAAAGGTGGTGCATGTTGTGACCAGTCTGATGCCAGCTGGTCAGCCACTGCATATGTGCTATGGAGCTGGTCACAGGCCTGAGCGGTATCCAGTCGCTTACCTGCGGCATCAGCACTGACCTCGCTCCTCCTTCTCTGCTCAGTCTCAGGTTTCTGTAAACATCTGGAAACTTCATATATTTGAGAGGTTTCATTTAGGTCCGTCAGTGGGCCCAGCTGTTGCTGTGAGTGGGTGGATGAAGAGACACGGTGCAGTAACAAGAAAACCTTGGTTTCTTCAGAAACCAAACTGAAAGATATCAAAGGGATTTTTACAGGAAAAACAGTCCTTTTCAATTTCCTGTACAGTAGTCTTAACAGGTTACTTTTATAGGCAAAAGTAGTTGGTATATGTAGGTAACAATCACAAAGGTAAGCTTTCGAGTTTCATTTCCTGCAATCATTTTATTAGGTAAATGCAAAATTAGAATAGAAGTGTTTCAAGGGTGAATAAAGAAAGGGCAGTAAATCGTGTCTTTTTATCTCAAGGGCACCTTGCTTGTGATTAAAAGCTTGGATTAAGTCCCTGGTTGAAGCTAGCCTTGTTTTAAAACATGCATGGAAGATTGGAAAAGAGAGCTCCAGCAGTCACTTGAACGAAGAGGACACTGTTTTGCAGGGGAAAAAAATAGCATTTGAATAGTTATTATCTATGCCTTGGAATTTATCTTAGCTGTAAATCACGGCTAACTACATGAGGTCTACAAAACTCGTAAGAACTGTGAGATTGTAGCAATGTAACAGCGTGAGTTTGCTGAAGTATTTTAAGAGGAAGAAAGATTTGTACTGCTGGTAGTTTTACAGAATATGTGTAGCTGCATATTAAAAAGATTCTTTCTGCCTCATACAGGAGAATGGAATAGCTTTACTCATTTGAGGAAGATTGTTTTGTACAGCCAAAGATAACAGATTGGAAGAATTATTTTCTTTTTAAAATTAATACTAAGTTTGGAAACACTTCCTAAATAAAGAGTGAAAACTTAATGTGAAATAAAATAATCTAAACTATTTTTTTCTTAAAAAGCTAAATCTGCTAAGTGCATATGTGTTTGAAGAAAAGAGTTCATAAAATAAGTTGCTGAATAATACCTGCAGAGATGGGTGGTAGACAAGAAGACACTTCAAAACAATCTGGTTTTGAGTTTTCTACCCTACTTTTTCAGAACTATAGAGGAGATTAAATTACGTTAAACTTAAATCTCCAGAACACAAAATATCTTTTCATTTCTGGGGATGACATTGCATTTATATTAAAATCGGTATTTCAGGTTGACATTGTAAGAGCTTTCAACTACATAAAGCTTGAGGGAAACTTGGTACTAAATAAATATAAATATTGAATCGCTTCTCCATCTGGCTAAAGAATTTGGAATTTGCTACGTTCTCTCTGCAGAAGATATTCAGCTGAGTCAAGTGAGTGTATTTCATGAGTGAACTTAGAATACATTTGCCCCTGAGCTTATAAAGCAAATACATGTCTTCTGCTTTAGAGAATCAGTGAAGGAATCTCTCCATGAAGGAGTATTACTTGACATGGAAGAAGTAAAGAGAAAACCCACTGTCAGAGCTCTGGTGATACAACAGCTGCGAGGAAGAAATGGAGACAGTAGAAACATTATTCATCAGCCCACAGAAGTCTCCACCTAGGCAGTTTTGTGTTTTTTTTTTTTTAATTCGCAGAGCCCATATTTTCAGCAGCTCTTAAGAATACCACCTCTCTGGTGTTGCCAGCTCTAACTGTTTTGAGGTGTATCAAGTAAAATGCAAAGGTTTTTGTCCTTACAGAATGAGAATAGGAAAAAAACAACTTCAGTTCACTGTGTTTCTTACGGTACAATCTTATCAGTAGAAACCCCAGAGTTGTATACAAGTGCTGTTTAACAAACTTAACCACCTCTTTATAGTTAGAAAATCAGAGCTTGAAAGAAACTAACTGGTTAATTAGATAACGTGTACAGCCTTGTTTTTTTCTTATCGGTCCCACAAAACTGCTTTGAAACTTTTGGGGAAACACTGGTTGAATGGTAAACTTTGATAAATTTGGCTTAAAGTAATTTCACAGTAAAGTAAAGTTAGAATAATATTCATTGCATTCCTATGCCCTGTCTTCTATATGAAATGGGCTGTAGATCCCAGTAGAACTAAAGCATATCAAATACAAACTTAAAGTTGTTTACGTTTGTGAGGCTTATACACTCAATGTGGTAGCATCTGGCTTGAGATGTGCAGGGAATGGCATCACTTGGAAGGAGCTTATTGACATCATTTTAAAAAAAGGGGCAGGGGAGGAAAAAAGAAATGGGGAGTCTTTGACGTGTTGTAATAAAGACTTTCCATTTTCTCAGGATCAAAAAATGGTTAGAAACTGTATTAATAAATCTCAGCACAAACTTCCACTAAGGCCTTGCCTATCTTCCCAAATACTATATACAATGTATTGCTGAATCATTTAAGACATCTGCTCGGGAGGAAGAAATAAGGCCATTGGAAAATTGTGTAGATCATGACTTTGGGAGATAGGGGTGCTGCTATTAGGAATAAGAATTTTGCTGAGGGGACACGGACCCTGGGCAGAAGAAGCTTGAATATAGGAGTACGGAGAGCCCGTGTTGGGAGGGAGAAGTGGGAGCTCTGACTTGGGGCAGGGGGAAGATGGCGTTGTGGATGTGATCTGGACTGCGTGCAGGGAGAAGCAGATGGAGTCAGAACAGCTGTGTTTGTTCTGGGGGAGGGTATTTGTGGGTGGGTGCTTTTTTACACCCTTTACCTTCACACAGTTGTGCTTTATCTGTAGCCTTGCATGGTAGCTGGCCATCTAAATTCACATTAATGCTTTCTATATTAAATACACTGTAATACAGAAATACTCCTTTGGTTCTGAAGTTGTATAAATTTGCAAGATTAAAAAAATATCGTTGCTTGGTGAATACATTAGTCTTTCAAGAATGCTAAGTTAGTTCACCAGAACTAAGACCTCTTTCATCTTTTTGCTCTGATTTCCAGCATACTTGCCATGGTCTAGTAATGCCCAATAACAGATACATCCTTGCAGATGGTGCAGAAAAGTCAAGAAACAGGGTACGTGACTGCCACACGATGCAATCCAGCATCTTCCTTTTTCTAAGCATAATGTTTGTGAGCTTTGCTGTACCAGAACTATGTGCACATACTCTGTGCTCACATCCTTACCTCCCTAAACAGAAACAGTACTGTATACACTAAATTAAATGATCCCTTTGCCCCCTTGAATAGCACAAGGTATTGTCTTAATGATGGATATACAAGAGTGTAGTGTTACCGGCTAGCTGCTCTGCTTCTCGTGTCTTTGCTGGTAGCCTTAATGGATACAGATTCTGCTGGGCTGCTTTGACACAACTGAAAAAACCCCACTGAAATGAGGTGTGCTGACCTCAGTCTCTTAATGTATGTGTGAACATCTCTCTGGTTGCCACCAGTGTAAAACATGGCTGGGCTCTAACCAGGTTTACTTTTTTTTTTTTTTATAATCAGAATTGCATACCTGCTAAACTCCCAGCTAACCCCTTCATCATCACCTGATACAATGAATGCAGCTAGAATAAGTGAGTAAGTACTACTGACCATCACCAGCTACGCACAGGAGGGATATAAGTTATAGATGCCTCGGGTGGGAAACTGGCTTTCAGAGTTGTGAATTTTCACTAACTTGGAGGACCTGAGACACCAACTGGCCTAGTCTTACCACATATAAATAAAAATAAAATTGTTAGTGAATTAAGCTAAATGGATTTAAAGGAGAAGAAATCTGTTTTTAAGATGAAGTAACACAAGGTAATTTATAAGAGAGTGAATGAAAGTGCTGAAGTTGCGCCACTACTTTCTCCCACAGTAAAAGACTGTTAACTCTGTCAGGTTTTTTCATCATTTATGCAGACCATGGTCAGTGAGAATGGAGAAAGCAAAGCCTGTGAAGAAATATAAATAGAAAGTGATGCACTCCCATTGATGGGCTAGGGAAGTCTGCGGTGATTGTGTTTCAGGTAGGCTGTATGTAACACCCAGTGGAGCGGTGTTATGCTGTAACTCGTCTCGGAGAGGACTGTGTCTAATTTTGTGATGGTGTGAACACTGTTGTGTAGGTGGAGGAGTTGAATTAGGCTCCTGAAAACTTGAGGCACTTTGAGTTCCCCGAGCTGGATCTATTTGCAGGATATCGCCTGTTTGCTTTACTTCATGGTTTGCCAACATTTCCTGTGTCTTCACAGGAATAGAAAGTACTTAAAGAAGGGGTAGAGTGGTAAACAGCATCAGCCTTAATGTTTCTCCTCAGTTAATCTTTACTGAACGAGAGCACTACATTCAATTAACCTTTTAGAGTATAAAGACTGGAGAACAGCATCTGAGTTCTGTTCTGGTACAATACAGATTATTTCTGTTAACTTTGCACACACATACACACAGGTGTGTGCACAGAGCCCTTTCCGAAGTGTATGCTTCAGTAGTTTGGGAGCTCTATAGATGGCTGGCTTTCTGGTTCGTAAGGATATTTTCTTTGTTTTTGATGTCAGTGTCAGTAATGGTAGGCTCGGTTTACGTTAAGAACTGCTTGGTGTTGAAAGTTATATTGAAAACCACCCCCACTTCCTCGCAGTACAAACAAACAAACAAACAAATACCCTAAAGATACGAAGCCTGTTAAAAGAAGCCGATGAGCTTTCCAGGAGGAGCCAGGGAGAGGTGAAGCCACGAAGAGTCTGAGGGCCCATGGGAAGAGTTGCAATAACAGGTTGGTTGGTGAGAGAATGAGCAGAAGCATGAAACTAAATATAGAGCTCAGCCTTATCAAAAAGCAAATTTTTATTTTTTCCTGTTGTCACCTACAGTATACTTCATGTTACTTGCTCTCTAAAATTCATTCGTCTGATAGATATATGTTCAACCATCATTGACTTAATCTCATCTTTTGTTTATTTTTTTCTTCATGTTTTTGTTTGTCTAAATACAGGCTACTGATGTGTTCAAGCTGAGGACAAGTTAGGTGCAATTTATTAGGCTGTTATGTATAACTTTATTTCATAACTTTATTTTTAACTGAATTTTATATATCTGAGAACATAGGGTGTCATTTTTGGCCATTTTAAGCTGTACATTAATTCAAGCAAGTAAGTTTTGTAATTTGCTACATTAATAGCACTCTAAATTTGTATTTAATAAAATGTCCTCATTGCAGCTTGTATTTTGCTTAGCATTCGTGCTTTATTTAGAACTGGGAATTGAATGCATATTCAGTTAGGAAGGGCTGATGAAAGAGAGTTCAGCTGTACCTCCTCCCATTCAAAAAACAATCATATACTCTTAATTTTCCTTCTTGCTTCCTTAAAGTAGTTGGGATTATAATTGGTTTTATATTTAAAGTAATTGAGGAAACGGAAACCAGTTCATTGTAGACAGTGGAGGTTCACAAAGCACCCCGATAGGTAACGTACTTCATTTTTAATGCTCACGTGACCAGCTGCTCTACATCAAGGTGATGGACTCGTGCGTACATTGTAGTATGGCCCTGTCCTTGTGGTCAAAGGCAAAATGATGTAACAAATGTTGTGTGCTAAGAATTCAGAAGAGTGCAGGAGTCGTTAATTCCTTCCACAATTTTCTTCAGGCTCTCTTCTCCGAAACCATGCCAGAGATGACAGAGAATGAGACACCCACTAAGAAGCAACATCGGTGAGTTTCTGTGGGAAAATGACTATTTTGTAGTTCTGTAGTCTGCGGTCACGTCGCAGTTATGAAGTTTCTAGCTAAAAGTTTGGCAATAAGGGTATTGACAAGAAGTTCTGAGGGTTGACCAGGGTTGATCCAAAAGTTTGGGAACTATGGCTGCAAAACTCCCTTTCTGTCTTCCCCTATTTATGCCGAATTATTTGTCGAAGACATGTCTACCTGGGCCACCTAGGCAACAGAGATTCTTTGATTATTACACTGACTATCCCAATGTGTATAAAACTGTGTTGCCACCTCGGTTAGAGTGCAGCCTGTATTATTGCGGAGACTCCTGGTAGATATTGGGGGGTCACTGTACTCGTTTTGACAGAGTAATTTAGATCTCTTCCTCAAATCCCAATGGAATCTGGATCTTACATCTCAAATGTCTGCTGGAACTCAAAATACATCTTGAGGTTGTAAAGCGACACTATGACCAAACTTTGTAACAAAGTGACTCAGAGCTCATTACAACTTTTCCAGGTTTTCGTTCCTTTGCAGTAGCATGTTGATCTAATACCTGATTGGTAGGGAAATCCTTCACTCCCTAGTTAAATACAGCATTCGTGTTATGCTAGGCGGCCACGTAGGACATCATTTATGATAAGAAAAGCTCAGAGAGAACAGTAATTTGTCCTACAGAAATTTTTTCAGTCTTCATGGATTTTGTGACCCCAAAATCCACAAAAAGCGGATTTTCTTACCCCACTAATAAGAGTATTTTGCATTCTGTATTGGTAATGGGAATCAAAGAGCAGCTGGATCTCTCTAGCCCTTATATTCTTGTGCATATTTAGGATATACGATCAATTCTGACTGGCAGGTGGTTGTTCTGAATATAAGTGGGAGAACTGTAGTTTACTGTAAAATAAGAAATTATTTTAAATGATAGTTTACATGCATTCCTGTTCTGGTGGCACAAGTTTTCAATGAACAGAAGATTCATCACTTCTTGAATAGTTGTAGAGCGGATGTGCAGGCTTCAGTTGGCATTTATTTGACTTGAAGATGTTCATCTTTAGGCATTATTTCTTAGCACACGTCCCCAGGTCTGACCATCTGCAGTAACATTACTGTCTTGTAATTATTGTCTAAGTTACTCTAGATGCACACTACTTTTGGCGAGTTACCAGAAATAAATGTATATCAACTCAAAGTGTAAAGGATACGCGCCCCATAGTAATCGCACGTGTCATCCCCATGTATCTTGCATTCTCACTTCAGATTCCTTGTTACATCTGGACTGTGCTGTAACAGTGGAAAAGGAGAGCAGGAGATGCTACCCTGCTTTTTGCATACTCTAGCCAAACATCTAGACTGCGAGTGGTCTGCTGGACAGAAATCTTTTGAAAGATCTTTTTTTTTCCTGAAATATTTCTTTTTCCAGAAAACACGTGCTTTGCTTTACTATACTTCCTGAAAAGACTTGGCTTACTGCGTGTATACAGTACATCTGATTTATATATGTAGAGTACACATTTGGAATTTATTGACTTCCAGCAAAGCAATTTGAGGCATTGCACAATGATTCTGGCCTGGTTGCCATCAGTCCAGAAATCCCAGGTGAACATCTGAAAAAAAAGACAACCCTCACATGCCCAAATTATACCTAGACAGAATTTTGAGGTAGTAAAGAACAACTGCAGAGGAATGGTAATTCTGGTTTCTCACACAAAGGAAGCATGTTTGATACCAGAAGGTATGATGTTTGAAGGTAACATGTCTGGAAAAATCAATTTGCATGGTAACATTTTCTCCTGTTTCATTGATCCAGTGAACGTAAAAGCAACATTTCAGGCAAATACTTAACTACCTTGTTGCTCAGAAATAGAACTAATTTTTTTAATATTTGGCCGTATTGTACACTGGATAGTGTAATAATTGTCCTGAACGGAAGCATAAAAATCCAGCTCTGCCCTATAAATATGTAACAATAATCAAATAGAGTATTATGCTGTGCCTTGTTACACTGAAATTGATTTAAGTCTGAACATGAATGAATTTTTGTTAGAAACTATTTAATACCAATGTATTAAAGACCAACGTATTTAAGACCAGTCCTTGCAAGTGTGACTTCTACTACGTTCTTGTTCACAGAGCAGAATATAATATTTAATATTTTTAGCTGTAATGGAAATAGAAGAAATATTTGTTTGTCTGCAGAATTTTTCCCCTTCTGTTTCACATCACTGTTTTCCCTTTATGTTTCACAGAAAGAAAAACCGGGAGACACATAACGCAGGTAGGAACATTATGCTGTGTTGTTTGGTCTGGAAATAAGCACAGATGCTTTGAACTAGTAAAACCTATTTTGCATGGAGAAGGTTCCTCCGTAGGAGTTTACTACACTTAAAAAACCCCCACCCTACTGAACACCTTTCTGTGTCCTTGCATAGAATATCTGTGCAGAAGGGCTTCTTGACTGTTTCTAGTTTGCTGTTTTCCACAGTACAAGGTTACAGTAGCACGCCCAAGTATGAAAGTATGACCATGCCCCTGGCTTTCCAATGCTAGTAAACTAAGAAGGAAACAATTTCAGTTGTGTTCAATTCTAAAGGAAAATAAAGGCACAGGCATTCACACACAAATAATACCCACCTCTCTTAAAACAGAGACAGATATCCGACCCAAGAGCTTTAGAGGCTCCCTGGATTAGAAATATTCCTGTAGCCTGTCCCTGAGGCACCCAGCTGGATGTTGGCAACCCAGAAATTCTGTGCGAATACTGGCTATATGTTGCAGGAGTCGCATCCCTCGGGCAGTGACTAGTCAGTGTCTAGCTCCAATGGCAACTTCTACAAGTAGCAGCAGCAGGATGGACTGGGGAAGAGTCTGACAGGTTTTGGCTTGGCTTATCCTAAGAAATTTATTCCAGTTCTTCTTTTATTAAACAGCACTATTGTGTGGTCTTCCCAAACTCAACTGGAAAAACCACTGACTAGTTTCCACGTGACGGCTGTGGAATATAGTGCTTGTCGGGCTGTGCCCAGGGTGTGGCCAATTTCTTAAGGATTAAGAAGTATCAGGAAAGAGTCTTATAAAGTTTACTTCTAAGATTGCCGACCTCGTTCTAATTCTCAGTTCCCGTTTTACTTGCTGATAGCTTTCCAAAGTCTTCATCTACTGGGCTGAATTCTGCAAGACCAGCTCCCTCCAACCCTGTAGCTTGCTTAGTCATTAATATCTGGACAAGCTGAGTAGAGTGTGGAAAATATTATCAAAACAAAGGAATAGCACTTCACCAACCACTGTGATATCTGTATGTATTAGTAAGATATATAAAAATTAAGTCCCAAGGATCACGTGTTTTAACGTTTATACAGCTGCTCTGATTTACATGGTAAATTTCTTGCAGAAGAGACTTTGTCTTGCTGTTTAGTGTATTTAGGCCTGTCTCTGTCAACACCACCAGTCTGTCCTGAAATACAAAAAATAATTTAGTAGTTTGAGAAATGTAAATTGAGGTGACAGACTACTGAAATAAACCTGTTTAAATTAAATCAGTATGTCCTTTGTAAAGGAGCACGATGAAATATACTCACCTGTGGATCACTGTGTGTTTCTGTGTGCTACCAAAAGCAGCCCGGCTGTGCAAACCACAAGGCGATACTCGGCACAATGAATGAACGACACATTGATTTGAATCTTGACAAAGCCGTGACAGAACTTTTTGGGAAAAAGGCATCTAATAGTTTTAGTTTGCGTAGAGGTAAATGATGTCACTAGGGGACTATAAAAGAAGCATTTTCTGACCTTCTTCAAAATAGGTAATTCACCGGAAATACTGTTCATTCAGTATTTTCTTCACTCCTGTCATAATTAGTTCTTGCGGAACAGTTATACCTTTGAACATAAAAAAGAGTAACAGATAGTCCATATACCTAAGAGCTTCAGCTATATTCAGTGTTGGCTGCTCCATCAATATAAATGTAAAATTAAGATTGAAAACTGGTAAAATCTAAATTTTTTCTCTTTTGGTGCTAAACTTGACATTAGTATTTAAGAGACATGGATTTCCTTCCCAAATCTGAAACCGATTCTTTCCATAATCTTGGTTCATTTGCTTTCTGTATGCCTAAATTTAATCAATCTGCCTTGTGAGAAGAGTGCCATAAAACTCAGCTAGACAGCATAATCAAAACCTGAATTTTGAGTTGCAGTAATGCTTTTCCACAAAGGGGTCCAGAACATCCCCACCTTTTAAAGATATTGCTGCTTATGTTACAGCTCTCAATTCCGCTTATTAATTTAATAACTGAGGTTTATTTTGGGGAATTTTTTTCCTCTCTCAAGTTACTAAGGCTTCCAATATGTCATGAAATAATGTATTTAAGAGCCCTTGCATTGGTACTAGTTGTGCTGCTGTTGTGCTGACTTGCCCAACCAGATGACACAGCACGTACTATTTTTGCTTAGTGGAGAGACATCGAAAGAAGAAGATTAATGCTGGGATAAACAGAATTGGAGAACTCATTCCCTGCTCTCCAGCACTTAAGCAGGTGAGTGTCCGTTCAGAAGTGCATGCAAGTTTCCTGTAAAATGCTTGTGTGGTTCCTTGTCTGTAGAAGTATACTTATTTTGCTGTTTGTATTAGGAAGAAGGCAAAACTGTCTGAATTAATATGCTCGAAAATCTTATTAGTATTTTTAAAATTATTTGTAATAGAATTCTTTTTTGGAAGTGCAGGGCCACATGAATGTAATTACTCAGATTTTGAGCGTTTTATCTGAAGGTGTTGCATATGACTGCTGAAGGAATGAAACGGTACGAGTTGGACATGTGACTGATTTTCTCCTCAATTCATACATGCAGTGTTTTTGAGGAGGTGTAAGCTAGACTAATTTTCCCACAGTGATTTGGTCAGCTTGCTGATGCCTGCCTGTGCGTTTGATTCACAGCTTCCCAAAGTTCTCGTTCAGGGTGCCTGAACGTTGGTAACAACAGAAGGTAAAAATCCAGTCTCGGCTGCTGCCTGCCCTGTTGCGTTGAGTGGATGGATAGCTGTTCACCCTTTCCTCTGGAGGAGGGGTGGCAGGCTAGACAGAAGTAGGTTGGGTCTGGCTGGTGGGTTGCTGGTTACGTTGTGCAGCTCGTTTGTCAAGTCATTTTCTACTGATGCTGTTTAATGTAGTGTGTATAATGCGCGAGTGGTGAAAGCTATGGGTTAAGCAAGATCGTTTTTCGAGTCATTCTCCAATCCCTTCTCTGCCTTTTGCTGGTGATCACTTAATGTCCTAAGAGGTAACTAGAATTGCATGCATGCTTATTTTTGTTGTCTTTTGTAAAATGGAATGAAAGCAATTCAGAAAGGAAGAATAATAATAATAATAATAGTAAGTTAAGACAGTGTCCTTGTGAAAGATGAAGCAAGACAAATGGTTTGAGTTTGAGGCACAGAAGCATCTTTTTCGAGACAGAGCCATCTACAGCAGAGGCTGTTCCTACAGAACAGTAGAAGAAGAAATTAAGAAATGAACGAGGGGTTTTGCAGACCGAATAAGCATAGTTTCATAAAAAGAAGATGGTGGAGGAGTTATGGCAGACTTTCCATATTCTCTAGTATATTAGTTTCAAAGTTATGCACACACCTCCCTGGATAATTGTTCCACATCTGTTTCTTTCCTAATAAAATATTTACACGGCAGTATCTTGGAAATTTCATATGATGTATATGTTTACTAGTGAACGAGAATATTAGGCTACTCAGCAAGCAATGATGCTTGCTGTTCATTTCTGTGGCCCTAGTATCTAGCTTTAGGCATCGGAAAAAGTCAGCTCCAGCATTGAAAATGTTATTCTGTAAAAACTCATGGCATTTTAGGGTCAATATCACTCATGAAACCTGCAGTTCATCTAAGGAAAAAAAAAAACCAAAACCAACCAAACAAACAAAACCCCAAAAGCCCCACAAAAAAACCCCCAACAATATTCAGAGAATCATTTGGGTTAGCACATTTTTAAAGTGAAGACTCTTGGAGCAAGTGCAATCTCATTGGTAATGGATCTACCAATGATAGACCTTTCTCCTAATTTTGTATGCATGTTTTCTTTTAAAGAGCAAGAACATGATCCTGGATCAGGCCTTTAAGTATATAACAGAAATGAAAAGACAGAACGATGAACTTCTGTTAAATGGAGGGAACAATGAACAGGGTGAGTACAGATGCTGCTGGAGGCTCTAGAATTTCTGTCGCTCGCTTCCACTGTGTGTCTGTTCGTACTGACTAACAACAAAGCCTGGATTGACAAACTTGGGAATCCCAAGACATTATGCACATACAGGAAAAACGCAGCTGCTTAGAATATCTTGAAACAAGAGGGCAAGAGAATGCCCAAGTGCATGTTCTTGCACGTAGCTATGAGATAATGAAGCAATTGCATTGTGATGTAAAGTAATTACAGAGCTTATAGGTGATGCAACATCATCTAGTAGATTCTGTCCTGATTTATTCTACTGTAGTGACCAGAACGACTTCTGACAAACTTCAGTTAGATTTTTTCATTGAAAGCATGGAGTTTCCTTCATGCATAGAGCTATTTTTTCCTTTCAAATGCTATAAAAGTAATAACAGACTATTTTTTAAAAATCTAATGCATCATATAAAATCTTCTTGAACAGATGTGTAAAAATACAGTGATGGAGGTATGACAGAAATAATCTCAGAGCTAATGTTTGGTTTGTGATTTTTATTTCTCCCCATAGAATGGAATTCGAAATAGTTTATTTTTATCTTGTCAATGTAATTGGGTTTGAAAAACCTAAGTGATTTGCCTAGTTAGGTAAGCCATCTCCAAGTGCATTGCTGGTTTTCGTGGCTTTACATAAGTGCCTTGTATTTAATTTTGCATATCATTTTTAGATATAATGAAACTTAATTGTCCTGGAAAGCCATGAGATTGTCAATTACATAAAAACAGTTTTAGTGTTTGCAAGGGAGCAGGGAAAAGAAAAAGATAAATTAATGTGCTCGTATTTCTTTCAGTAATTAAACAATTTGATTACTGTTTAGTTTCATCTGAGTTTGTCCTGATGTTTTTTCTAACTAAATGATTTGACATATTCTGCTATTGGTAACGGAATAGTCTGAGGTTCATTCGCTTTCCTGCTCAGTTGAGAGGCTTAGCAGGATAAGAGTCTTCAGTTATGTTATGTTAACCATTTGAAGAGAGCATACATTATTAACACTTTATTTCAATACTACATAGTATTTACTCTCCAAGTCATGTGGTAACATTACCTAGTATTTGCGCTGGTGCTGATGTAATGGAGTGCTCTCACTGTTTTGTAGCTGAAGAGATAAAAAAACTCCGGAAACAGTTGGATGAACTGCAAAAGGAAAACGGGAGATACATCGAACTACTGAAAGCAAATGATATTTGCCTGTATGATGACCCTACAATCCACTGGAAGGGAAATCTCAAAAATGCAAAGGTCTCGGTTGTTATTCCCGGTGATCAGGTTCAAAAGAACATCATTGTCTATTCAAATAGGAGTCAACCCAATGGAAATAACCAGGGAGCATCTGTCCAGGGAATAACATTTAACGTTGGTCACAATTTACAAAAGCAAACAGCCAATGTTGTACCAGTCCAGAGAACTTGCAACCTAGTGACTCCTGTGACGATTTCCGGTATTTACCCCACAGAAAACAAGCCATGGTCGCAAACTACAGTTTCTCCGCTGGCATCCACTCAGACAGCTCCAGCGGGGAACGTTCTTGAGCTTTCCACCCTGGAGAATGAGCGGGGCGTGCTCGCCGCTGCTACTGCCAGCTCACAGAGCGCATCTCAATCCGGAACAGAACGGGAACTACAGTGTTCTTCAAGTAATGCACCACAGAATGATCAAAATCTCCCCAAAAGTAGAAATGATGAGGAGGGCACTAAATTAACAAAGAAAACACTCCTGCAGGGAATCAGCCTTCCTTCCAGTGCCTCCACGGAATCCTCCCAAGTTCAACAGGTGAATACAACTTGCTCAAATACACAGAATTCTAGGAGCGACCTTCAGGAAAGCTGTGTCATTTCAACCACGGACACAGTTTGTATGCCATCTGTGAGACTGTCTACTGCAGATAGTTCTTCCTCTGTAAACGTCCTCAAAAGTACAGACTTAGTAAGTAGTGCTGGGATGCCTGTGACTTCGGCAGCAGAAGGAGTTAAGGCTGCGACGGGAATAAGCACTCTGCCTGCCAGTCCCCTAGAGAACTGCTGGTCTTTTTCAGGCTCTTCAGGCGTTGGCGCTTCAGACTTGAAAAACATGAGTAGCCTTACACGGATGCCTTCAGCTGGAAACACACAGACCACGTGGACAACTTTGCAGCTAGCGGGAAATACTGTTCAGCCATTAAGCCAAACGCCATCCGGTATAATGACTGCACTATTAAATGAACCAGTGAATGGTGCTGGTGCTGTATCTTCTGCTCACAGCAGGCCTTTGACTACAAGTATCAGTTTGAATACTTCTCTGCCTGGAGATGGCCAGGCAGCTGAACAGATTGTAGTTACCTTGCCCTCGTGCCCACCCTTACCTATGCAGCCATTAATCAGCCAGCCACAGGTTAAAACTCAGGCTGCAGGAAATATCCTTCCATTAAATTCAGCTATGCAGGTGATTCAGATGGCTCAGCCAGTCGCGTCAGCTGTTACAGGAGCACCAGCTAACCAGAATGTCATCATTCTGCAGCCTCCAAACCCCGCTCCGTGCCCTCCAATTGTGAGGGCAGAAGTTCCCAGCCAAAATGTTAGTCAGCAAATTGTAATTATACAGGCTGCTAATCAGAATCCTCTTCCCCTCCTCTCCGCTCAGCCTTCTGCTTCTGTAAGAGTTCCCGTGAACGGGCCGACTGCAATCGCGAACTCTAGCAGCTCCATACAAAATGCCCCTCTTCCACAGACTTTTGGAGGGAAACACCTTGTCCATATATTACCAAGACCATCTTCTTTGCCATCTTCTAGCTCTACGCAAACGTTTTCAGTTACAATGTCAAATCAACAGCATCCTCAAACTATCTCATTAAACGGGCAGCTTTTTGCATTGCAGCCTGTGATGTCTTCATCTGGAGCTTCAAATCAAGCCCCTATGCAAATTATTCAACCCACCACCAGCGAAGATCCAAATACCAATGTTGCCCTCAACACATTTGGTGCTTTAGCTAACCTCAATCAAAGCATATCGCAAATGGCTGGACAGAGCTGCTTACACTTGTCCCTCAGCCACCCTACCAATCCCACAACTGTCAATAACCAGATTGCCACAGTTAACTGTGTGTCATTACCAACTTCTGTGGCATCTTCAGTACCTGCGGAGGTTTCGGTATTGACTAGTGTGTCTAATTCAATAAATACTTCCCCAAAAAAAGCAGCTGCTGGCTTGCCATCCAATGCAAAATCAAAAAGGACAAACAAAAAGCCAAGTACAAAGAAGCACCAAGCAGTCAACAGTAAAGTGTCCTGTCTAGCAGTTCCTTGCAAAGATGCAGGGAAGGTGGACTGTGTTCCCATGGAAACGGTGGCAAAGCATTCAAACGGTGAGGGGCTGCATTCAAACGGTGAAAACGCTCCAGCAGTATCGCAAGCTTTAACGACATCACAGGCAAGCAGTGTGGCAGCATCGAGTGGCATCAGTGTTTCTGACTGTCATTCCAAAGAGACTGCGAGCTCTGAACAGGCAGTGAAAACCTGCTCTGTCCCCGAGCCAAGCTCGGCAGAGGCGCCCGCTTCCTCACCACTGGCGTCCGTGGTGTCAGAGCAGCTGGCGCTCGTCCTGCCGGCTGCCAAAGAAGCTGCTCCTCGCCAGCAGGCCCGTGGGTCTCAGAACCGTCCACCAACCGGCTCTGCCTTGTCAGAGTCTCCCAAACCCTGTGAACCCCCCAGCACCTTAACGTCCTCTCGTACCGAAGCACATGTGACACATTCTCAGGTTGCTGGGACCTCAGCAGCACAGAACAGCACAGCAGGTCATACTTCCAAGGCAGGAACGATTTCGGAGTCCTGCAACGTTGTGCAGGATTCCTCAGTGGTAATGCAAGATGCGGACTTGTTAGAAGGACAGGGTCTAACCAAAATGCTCTCTGATCTCACGAAAGAAAGAACAGCTGTGGAAAAAACCTCTTCATTTACTGTTCAGGGGGAGCATTCTAATTTTCCCATGGAAAACTCTAAATCGGCAGAATCAAATGTCGATTTGCCTGAGAAGCAGGAACTCTTGCTAATGAACACAGAAGGTGATACTCTCTCCCAGCATCACTCCTGCATTTCTGATCAGGAAGTAGTCAGTGCTTCCCTTATCGCTAGCAGGCAGGCAGACTCTCCGATGTCAACTAGCTCTGGCAGCAGTCGAGGCTTCTCAGTTGCATCTATGTTGCCAGATACCACCAGAGAAGACGTTACTAGCAGCACCGCAACCAGTACGTGCAACAGCTGCACATTTTCAGAACAGACTGACATTGTAGCTCTTGCAGCAAGAGCTATTTTTGACCAGGAAAACCTTGAGAAAGGTGGAGGAGGAATACAGGTTAACATGAGGGATGCCATCTCTAAGTCAACTGAGGTTGCACCGTTGGAGAGAGAGCAACAGCCTTTTAAACCTCAAGCAGTAAAAGAAAACAATGCAGGGCCGTTGGAAGCGGCACCAAACAAATTCAGTGCTCAAGATACAGTACAGACAAATGTCGATAGACAGGTTGAAAAGCCAAGCTGCTCTGTAGGAGGTGTGGAAACATCAAACACTTCTTTGCAGATTTCCACTTCCCAGTCACCAAGCATAACCAGTTTAAGCGTGAATAATCTAATACACCAGAGTCGCATTGTGCATCCCCTTGTGAGTTGCTCGAGTTTGTCCCAGTCTTCAGAGCCAGCAAGTGTCCCTGCAACTGTGAGCCTCTCCCTTCCATCTAGCACATATGTCAATCAGTCTCCAGGACCCGCTATGATGAGTGAATATGCTCAGGAACAACTGAATGCTGTTAGGGCAAGCACCATGCAGGTGCCCCAGCTGCAGGAATCGCACTTAAAGCAGCAAAATCATGAAGGTCGCAAAGACTCTGCCAAGCGGGCTGTTCAAGATGACCTTCTACTTTCTACGGCAAAGAGGCAAAAGCAGTGCCAGACAACGCCCATAAGGCTTGAAGGGATGGCGTTGATGAACCGAACACCAGAGAGTATTGCTGATCAAACGCAGATGCTAGTCAGTCAGATTCCTCCTAATTCATCCAATTCGGTGGCATCTGTGAGCAATCAAGGGCACACAGATGGCCTTAATAGGTTATTCCCATCAAACAGCAACTTTGTAACACCAGCTTTGAGACAAACTGAAGTTCAGTGTGCTTCTCAGCCATCAATTTCAGAGCAGCAAGGCCAGGCAGGGCAGCACTTGCAGCCAATTCAACATGTTCCTGCTCAAGGCGTATCTCACCTTCACAGTAATCATCCATACTTAAAGCAACAGCAGGCTGGTCAGTTAAGAGAAAGGCACCACTTGTATCAGCTGCAGCACCATGTCACTCACGGGGAAAACTCAGTCCACTCTCAAGCCCACAGCGTCCACCAACAGCGAACAATACAGCAGGAGGTGCAGATGCAAAAGAAGCGAAATCTCATCCAGGGAACACAAGCCACACAACTTTCTCTACAGCAAAAACACCACGGAAGTGATCAAACACGGCAAAAAGGTGGTCAGCCTCATCCTCACCACCAGCAAATGCAGCAGCAGATGCAGCAGCACTTTGGAGCTTCCCAGCCTGAAAAGAACTGTGAAAATCCTGCAACAAGCAGAAACCATCATAACCACCCTCAGAGCCATATAAATCAGGATATTATGCATCAACAGCAGCAAGATGTTAGCAGCAGACAGCAAGGTTCAGCTTCTGAGCATGTGTCAGGGCACAATCAGATGCAGAGACTTCTGACCTCAAGGGGCTTAGAGCAGCAAATGGTGTCCCAGGCAAGTATCGTAACCAGACCATCAGATATGACATGCACCCCTCACAGGCAGGAAAGAAACAGAGTTTCCAGCTACTCTGCTGAGGCGCTCATTGGGAAGACGCCCTCTAATTCGGAACAGAGAATAGGAATATCTCTTCAAGGCCCTAGGGTTTCTGACCAGCTTGAAATGAGAAGCTATCTTGATGTTTCTAGAAATAAAGGGTTGGTCATTCATAATATGCAGGGCCGCTTATCTGTCGACCATACAGTTGGCTCAGATGTGCAGCGCCTTTCCGATTGTCAAACATTTAAGCCAGCTGGACCCAATCAACAACCGACGGGCAATTTTGACGTACAGGCTTCAAGAAACAGTGAAATTGGTAATTCTGTGTCATCCCTCAGGGGCATGCAGTCACAAGCTTTTCGAATCGGCCAAAATACTGGGCCGTCCATAGAAAGACAGAAGAGATTGCCCTACCAGCCAGTACAGGGTATTCCAACAGGAAATACCCTGCCATCAAGGGAAAATGAAAACACGTGCCACCAAAGTTTTATGCAGAGTTTACTCGCCCCTCACCTTGGAGACCAAGTTAGTGGAAGCCAAAGATCAATCCCAGAACATCAAAGGAACACGCAGTGCGGCGCCTCCTCCACAATTGAGTACAACTGCCCCCCAGCACGGGAGAGCGTCCACATCCGAAGAGACGGTGATGGCCAGAGCAGGGAGAGCTGTGACATGTCTATTGGTGCAATTAACACAAGGAACAGTTCTTTGAATATTCCTTTTTCGAGTTCTTCTTCCTCGGGGGATATTCAGGGTCGCAATACAAGCCCAAACATCTCTGTGCAGAAGTCCAATCCCATGAGGATGACGGACAGTCATGGAACTAAGAGCCACATGAATACGCCTGTTTCTAGCAACATGCATGGAGTTGTGAGGCCAACTCACCCTCACCCTGCAGTTTCTCACGGAAATGGCGAGCAAGGGCAACCTTCTGTTCGTCAGCCAAATTCTTCAGTTACTCAGCGGTCAAGGCATCCTCTGCAAGATAATGGAGGTTCTAAAATACGTCAGCCTGAAAGGAATCGATCTGGAAATCAAAGACATGGAAACGTCTTTGACCCTAGTCTTCCCCATCTTCCTCTGTCCACCAGCGGCAGCATGATCCTTGGGCGCCAGCAGTCTGCGATAGAAAAAAGAGGAAGCATTGTCCGATTTATGTCTGATGGCCCTCAAGTGTCTAATGATAATGCGGCCCCCGACCAACATACTCTCTCTCAGAATTTTGGATTCCCTTTTATTCCGGAGGGTGGCATGAATCCACCAATAAATGCCAATACCTCTTTCATCCCACCGGTCACTCAGCCTAGTGCCACTCGAACACCAGCTCTAATCCCGGTCGATCCTCAGAATACCCTGCCATCCTTCTATCCTCCTTACTCTCCTGCCCATCCCACCCTTTCCAATGACATTTCTATCCCTTACTTTCCCAATCAAATGTTTCCTAACCCAAGCACGGAGAAGCCGAGTAGTGGAAGCTTAAACAATCGATTTGGATCCATTTTGTCTCCTCCCAGGCCTGTTGGTTTTGCTCAGCCAAGTTTTCCTTTGCTTCCGGATATGCCGCCGATGCACATGACCAACACGTCGCACTTATCCAATTTTAACTTGACGTCTTTGTTTCCAGAAATAGCCACAGCTCTTCCTCCAGATGGTTCAGCAATGTCGCCTTTGCTTTCCATTGCAAACACATCTGCTTCAGATTCTTCCAAGCAGTCCTCAAACCGACCTGCCCACAATATAAGCCATATTCTAGGTCACGACTGCAGCTCAGCTGTATGAAAACTGATAGACTGACTTCTAGTCTGATGCGTTGTTTATATATTTAAGAAGAAGAGAGTGGATCTTACTGGCATCCCTGAAGAGACCATTCATAGCATCACTGTTTATTTGCCTAAATGTATGTATATGGGTACCTTTCGTATTTATATACACACTGTATTTCCATCCACCTTACTAACTTTAAAGCACCAGTGCCTATAGCAATGCTTACTTACTAGTAAACAGTAAGGACGCAACTTTTAGAGCTGTGCAAATATTGGTTGTTGATTTTCCAACAATCAAGTTTGATGTCCGATTGTTCCAGGGTAAGGGCCGCCCTCAGTAATACATGGATGTAAAGAAAGGAGTGAGAGCATCCATATGGGAGACAGGAAACAAATGCTACAGGTTTCGTTTTGTTTCTGATGCGTTTACCTGAAACTACAGATAAACTTGAAGTGGCTTGGGTTTCTCTTTTTCCTTTGTAAAATACCTTCAGAAGCCTCAACACAAGTCAAATCTGTGTTAACCCAGCGTTAATTGATAAAGACGTTTGTTGTACAGCTTTTGTCTGTTTGAAGCTTGTCACATGCACTTGACTTAAGGCTGACTTTACCTGGCAAAAATTACTATGTGTTTCCATGGTCAGCAATTAAAAATACCGGTTTGGAAAATTCAGATTTCTTTAAGCCATGACTTTCTGTTTCTAAGAAGAATTTTGTTTGGATCTGTTTTAACAATGGCTTCAGTTACTGCTGAATTTGGTCAGCCTTTTAACGTAGCTTACGAGTCCTTCTGATGTAGTCAGCGGAGACAGCAGTCGGATTTGTTGCCATTTCATTGTTTGTATGCTGCAAGTTACCTCAGGGTGGGTTTTGTACCTTGTTTAGCACCTTCTTAATGTCTTTTTTTTTTTTCCCCCCTCTCCTTCTCTTTGGCCCATGCTCAAACACCAGCTTTCTGGTTTCTGTGAGTGACAGCCCTTTGTTGTACCAGGCAGCACATGGGAGGAGGACTGAGCCTGTGGCATCCCGCAAAATGAGCGGGGATCCCTGTGGGCACAGTTTTTACTTAACGTTGCTGACAGGATCGGGGCCCAAGTTAATACCAGTACTTTGCACTTGAATGCACCTTTTGTCTATAAACGCGTATGATTGTGGCTGAAGGAGGAACATGAATGTGTCAAGACCTAAACGCTGCACACCGGGAAGACGTTGTGATTTGAGCACCACGAGGAAGGGGGATGCGTTTGTATGGGCGTGAGAGACGGTGAATGTGCATGCGCTGGCTGAGTCTCCAGTACTTTCACAAATTTCGGTCCCGTTTCTTTTAAAGGAAAGGGAAGAACTAGGTAAGTTTTATTTATTCAATGGTTCTGCAGTGTGATTTTTCTTAAAACAAGGCAGAAATATTTGTCTTTTATTTTTATGTGTTTGGAAATACCATTCTGGTTTTGATTCTTCAAATAACATAGCAACTTCAGGTCACCTTGTATGCAGTCCTCTCTCTACCAGCCGGGGAGTGGCAAAAACTGCTCCAGGGCCTCTTCTCTGGGCGGGGTAAGCTTGGAACACTTGTGTGTTGCCCACCAGTGCATGGTCTTTCTGCTCCTGGGACCTGTCACAGGTTCTTCCCCAGTGCCTCTCCTAGTGGGGGGGTTGGAGGAGAGCGGCATCCCTGGGATTTTTTTAGGGATCTTTTTTTCTTTGAAAAGCATAAAGGAAGATGTTCCTCCATCTCCAAGAAGAGGACCCACAAAGAGGGACCTGAAAGTTTTTTCCATAGCTTGACTGCCCAGGCCTCATTTTTGCTAAGTCCTTTTACACTGATCCAGGAAAGTAAAGAGGCTTTGGCATAAAAAAGAACTGGGCTATGTCTGTAGTCCGTCCTGACAATGTCTCCGCTCTTGTAACCTGTGGTCTGATGTTTTCCTGCAAAGTTAAGTAAAATGGTTCTGATTCAAATTGGGAATGACTTTGTAATTCGGATGGAGCTTATCTTAGGACACTAAATATAAGTGATGCATCAGTTCTCTGTGTTTATTAAAAGTAATAGATAATTTATTTCACTTCAAGGCAGCTTGTCTGAGTTTGACTGTGAAATGGGCTGCCGAAGTGTAGTTACCGACCAAATGGCAGCAACTGACGTGCAGAGCCATGCAGAGGAGGGTTAGGAATGACAGTCAGTCCTCAACTCCCACTAAGCACTCTGCAGGTCTGGGTGTTATCTGATGAGACTCTGATCAAATTGATTTCCCTAATGCAGCAGATTCTGAAGGGGCTGCCTCAGGTGGTGAAATGAGTTCCGTAACGATGAGTGGCTCCGTGGGTTGTGGGTGATAAAGACAGGGGGGTTGAATCAGCAGCTACGCTGTGCATTACATACTCGTCTAGACCATTTGGAGGGAAGCAAACCAACCATTCTTGCTCTCTTTAAATGGCATTGTGTGTGCAATGGTATATTTGGCTTTCAAGACAAATTAGTGAAAAATAAGCCCTGGCTTCCAGGACTTTATATAAAGATGTTAATCCTGCTCATCATTCCAAGCATTCACTTAGTACCACATTAGTTTCCTCTGCTGGGAAAATTCCACTACTTCATGATGTCTTTGAAAACTGGAGTGAGCTTGTAAGCTTATACGGACCAGTTATCAGTTGAAAATGTTCACAAGTCCATGGGGCCTGATGGGATTCACCCCAGGGTACTGAAGGAGCTAGCTGGTGTTACAGCAGGACCCCTCTCGATCATCTACCAAAGGTCTTGGGAGCCTGGGGAGGTCCCTGCTGACTGGAAGCTAGCCAATGTTATTCCCATCTACCAAAAGGGCGTGAGGAAAGAACCCAGGGAACTACAGACCTGTTAGTCTAACCGCAGTTCCTGGAAAAATTATGGAGAAGGTCAGACTGGGTACTACTGAAAGGCATTTAAAGAATAATGCAATCATCAGGCACAGTCAACATGGGTTCACAAGGGGAAAGTCCTGTTTAACCAATTTGATATCCTTCTACGATAAGGTCACCTGCCTAGTGGATGAAGGGAAGGTGGTGGATGTAGTTTTTCTGGATTTTACTAAGGTTTTGATAGTGTCCCTCACAGCATCCTTCTGGACAAGTTGTCCAGCTGTGGGATGAACGGGTTCATGGTGTGCTGGGTGAAGAACTGGCTGAAGGGCAGAGCTCAAAGAGTTGTAGTGAATGGGGCTACATCTGGCTGGCGACCAGTCACCAGCAGTGTTCCTCAGGGTTCAATT